TTTACAAATAGAGTGATGTTTATGCCATATGGACCATGGAGCAGTAGCACACTTCTGAACACTTCCATAAAAGAATGCCAAGGTTCAAATTTTATTATCTTAAGGCAAAGAAAACCCTGACCTCTAAGAGAATCATCTAGAAATCTAGAGAGTCCCTTTGTCATCGAGGAAGGCGGACCACTTCGTGACTCTTTGCGCAAATATTTCTGTCCAGCAGAATAGATGGAAATGAATCTTTTACACCTGTAGCTCGTTATTTCACCTAGTTCACCCAGCTGTGGGAGCAAGCTCTGCAGCAACCTGCTTGAGAGCATTTGAGAGCTGCTTTGTGAAAGCAGCTGCTACACTTTGCAACATTTCTTCCCTACTCTTGATTAAAAAAAGTTGAAACCCAACAGGAATGGAATGATCGTATAGAAGCCTTTTTGTAGGCCAGTCTGAAAGGGTCCGCGCTATACGCTAGACAAGTGGACGAGAATGAAAAAGGTCTCCGCTCGTATTGCATCAGGTCTGAGTGCAAAACGTTGAAGAACACGAACTCACCAGGGGTGTATCCTTGTCCTGGAAAGTTCGGCACGACCATGCGAACACCGTTTCTTTTCAACTCTGGAGCAAGATACTTGAAGTCAGCATGAGAACCAGGTGAACCATGAATACCGAAAAGAACTGCTTTCTCTCCGCCCTCCGGCATCGTATCCTAAAATGACTCTACCTGATGCAGAAGCCAAAGAAATCATAATGGGATTCAAGTTCGGGATTGTTCACCCCTTCTCTATCTTCGCTAAGGTTCAGGTGGTAATAGTGACGAACCTGATAGACTGCGTCCAAAGCGATGATATCACCTCTGCCATTTTTGAAGCGAACCGGTACTGAGTACAGACCGTTTTCCGAATCAAATATGCTTCTTCTAGATGCATATCGTCGATAAAATGTCTGGAGTGAAAGATACAAAATGGATCATAGAGGTTGCAGTGAAGACAGGAAAAACAGTAAATTTAGCTGATCCGTGTTAGGGCATTTGAAATCCCTCAATGCCTTCTTTCAAGTTTGTACGTGCCAGACCACAGGATGACGCAGCATCTTGTCAGCCTTGGGTGGGGCTCGGGCCCCATGTGAAAAGTACCATTCTTTGGACAACTTGTTACGGCTTGGATTTTTCCTTTCCAATATTAATCGTAGCTTTTGGTCCTCCGGCTCCTTGGGAGGGAAACTTTATCCCATGTGGTACGCTAGAGTAATCAGTAGGGTGTGAGGTAGATAGAGGCACCGCCTCAGTAGCTCACATCCAAGCATCAGATGTCGGTTAGGTCAATCACGGTTAGAAAATTCAAC